GGTATGAGAAGCTCCTTGTCCAGTGGGAGCCCTGGTCCCCCAATCATCAGAGGGCTCCTCCACTAACCATATTAGAGGGCTCCTCCACTAACCAACACGTTGAAGGTTCGAGTCCACCCAGAGGTGCGTTAGCAGAAAGACCTGGTGATCTAGCTCTGAAATACCAGCCACTGAAAACAGTGGGGGGCACAGTTCTGCACTGACCCACATGGGGCCACCACACGTTGGGGTGAACTCGACAAGGACTGGTTTGGTTTGCACGTTTGCTGGGGTCAGATCTGTCTGCAGGAGACTCTGTTCTCCTGCCTGTGGCTGCAAATGACTGTGTATGACTTACTAACCAGACTCCCCCTCTCTCTCTGTTTAAGGAACCACCACCTATCCTAGTGAGAGGAGAAGAGAGCCTAGCTACGGGAAGCCGACCTGTGGCCTCTGCCCCAGTGCCCGGATCTCCCTGGTAAGACCCTCCAAACCCCGAGAGCCATGGGAGAGAGCACCGCCTTGTCGCAGCTCTTGCTTGTTGTTATCCCTGGACAGGATTGAGTTTTCAAAATGAATGTGCAGCTCATGAGAGACGTGGCACTGCACTGCTGCCACATCCTGCAGAGAGAGAGCGCGTTTAAGTGGAAGTGTGTGCTGATGAGTATTAACATCACGTGTGGCATCTGGACCAGAGAAGGCCATGTCTGAGGGAATCGTAGCATGCCGTCAGCTTCAGAGGGAGAAGCCCTGAGGACTCTGAGGATCAGAGGAACTGACCGCTAATTGCGGCTCACCCACTCTGGCCACGTGTCCTTGGAGGACACCACATCTTTGAGAATGCCACACACAGACATCTTCCATGAGGGAGCCACAGGCTTTGGTTTTTAAAGATGCCCTTTTGTAATGGAGTCATTTGGAAGCAGAGTGGAAAGGGTATTATAGTAAAAATTAGCTTTAAAACCTGATGATTGGAGAGAGGTAGACATCAGGGAGGAGTGACCAATGTAGTGGCAGAAACAGTGACCGGTTTAGTGTGCACCCAGGTAGGTGGCCACAGAGGCTGCAGGTGAAAGCAGCCTGCTCCTCGAGGGCCGTGAGGAAGAGTGTGGGTGTCGCTGTGGCCGTGGCGTGCTCTGGCTGCACTCGTGCTGGTTGGCCAGACTGTCTGGAGAGAAAGAGAGGGGCGGGGCATCTTCCCCTGGTCAGGGTTGGGGTTTGCAGGGCCTAGTGGGCACTGCTCTCTGCCTTTAGGTGAAAGTGTTCACCCCTGAGGATGCCCCTGCAGCGAGGTCTCCATACTCAATAAGCAAACTCTGTCAGTAAGTGTGTCTTAGGGTGCACACACTACAGTGGAGGTGAAGGTTGATTCTGGGGACTGTGTGAATCCATCACAAGGCCTCCCCATGCTGCCCTGGGGCGACAGCTCCATGAAAGGCATGGTCTTGCACACCAGGATGTTACCATGGTGACACCATGGCTGGCCCTCCTTAAAGTCCTCTTACAATGCCATGAGCTCACTGATGTGGGTTGCTTACCTGCTCCTTGACTGATCTCCTTGCCTCTTGTAGTGCATCCCTTGTCTTGAAACTAGGAATTATAAACCCTCTGAGCTCCAGCAAGGAGGTGGGGTGGCTGTGCCATGGCTGCCGCCATGAAAAAAGCCATTCCCCACAAGCACAGACCCTACTGGACCCAGGAGAGAGTGTAGGATGGGGACTAGGATGGAAGATCTCCAAGGCCAGGAACGGGACCACGAGGCAGGTCACTGGAGAGCACCGAGGGTGGAGTGAAGGTTTGAGCATGGTGCTTCTGGAAGGTGCAGTGGCGGAGGGTGGGAGGAAGTGGGCAGGAGGGCGTGAGCATCAATTGTGCAGGTCTTCTTGGCCAGGCTGTAAAAGCAGTGAGCCCAAGGGGCAGTGGCATGGTCAGTGTGCTGGCTAATAGAGAAGAGCTAGGTGCCATCCAGGCGACTGAGGAGTGCGATGCTCCATGGAGACGTGTACTTTTTATCATAATTAGGCGAGGACTCGATAATTCAGTGACGACTGGGCAAGCCAGTCAGGCTGGGCCAATAGTGGCATGGAGAGAATGTGGGATAAAGGATGCAGGATAGAGCTATGTTGGGGGAGGTTGTCATGACAAAAATAAAGGAGAAAGTCTTTTAGAACCTACTCCAAGTATGTAAAATGAAAATCAATTCGTTCTCACTCTTGGCTAACTTTCACTTACTGTTGTTACATTTTTAATAACACTGAAGCTGAGAAGTTTCACATTTGGAAGGACAGCTATACAAACTGAATGTTCTATTCCTCTGTAGATGTAGGAGAGAAACTTGTCTTTTCAGACAAAAATCTTCCAGAATTTTAAAGTAGTGTTTGCTCCTTGGCAGACATGCTAGAAAGGGGTAGGGCTGTATAGCCCAATTGATAAGTGAGGAGAGAGGGTCCAGGTGCCCTTTTCTCTGCAGGACACTGCTCCTGGATGTGGACTGAATGAAGGCATATGGAAAGCCAAATGCAGGCAAGGAGAATTTCTGACTGTTCTCAACTGTGTATAATTCAGGGAGGCCCTGTGTGGTGCCACTGGGTAACATTCTCAGCTGCTAAACCACAGGGTGGAGCTTGGAGTCCATCCACAGGCACCTCATAAGAAAGGCCAGGCGACCTGCTTCTAAAGGTCAGCCATGAGAACCCTGCAGGGCGCAGCTGGGCTCTGACGCGCGTGGGTGGCCAGCAGTCAGAACGGCCGTGCCAGCACTGGTCACGTATGACTTTTCCGTTATTCTAATTGCCAAGAGAGATGGCAGATTAACAGCCTCCTTGAAGGCATTAATGTAACCCCAGACAGGTCAGCATCGCACCACAATGCCCTGACGAGGAAAGAAAGGAGACTAGGAGATACACACGAGGCCTGCCCTCCCATCTGTGCCAGCCCAGTGCCTAAAAACGGATCCAGAGTCCAGCTGGATTCCTGGAGTCAGCTCTGTCGCCGGAAGCTCATTTACCGGAGCGTCACTGAGTGGAGCCAAGGGTGCCGTAATCTGGGGTGCACCATTTTAAGAAGAAACAGAAAATGAAGACTGCGTATCATCCTTCATATAAAGTGGTCTCCTCCCAACCTCCAAGTGGAAAGGCTGAGCTTCTGGAAATGCTCGCGGCAATGCCCTTGGAGTCACCATTTGCCAACCTGCCCTGGCTCTGGGCGCACTGATACGGGAGTAGCATTGCTTTCATCTCGCGCGGATTTCTGTTTATCCCTCTTTTTTAGTGTTTGGCTTTTGATCCAAATGACAATTTGGGGGGGGGTGGGGATTAGCCATTCTGGTAGAGGGAAGTAACTACAATGTTTTTTTTTTTTATTGGAGTTGTTGACGACTTGGGGAAATTTCATAGGCAATTACTAAACAAAGTGTAAAATCCATGAGCTTGTGACTTAAATTACAATAAATGTCAAAGATTAGCTAACATGTTAAAATTACCTACAAGACTATGGATTTACAAATAATTACAACTCCTTGAACATTGGTTTTGGAATTATATCATTGTCTAAAGAATGCAGACTGACATACTGCAACTGTTTTTATGTAAGTGATGTGTTAATAGTGCAATCAAAGTCTCCTTGTTTAAACGTTTTATTGTGATTTGGGTGAAATGTTACAAAGCTCCTTTTTCATTATGACTTAGAAAGGAAGAAACTGTGCTAGAAGAGAGGGTGTGTGCTGTATCAGTCCGGAGCCTGGAACCTGCAGAAGGTGCCAGATCCTATCAAAGCTGAGTCATGTTTGACCAGAAACAAACCCGCTGCCATCAGGTCCTTTCCAACACGGAGCAATCCTATAGGACAGAGCAGAATCTCCCGACAGGGTTTCCGCGGCTGTCATCATCACAGGAGCAGGCTGCCTCATCTTTCTCCTGCAGAGCAGCTGGTGGGTTCAAACCACCAACTTCAGGGTTAGCAGCTGAGTGCTTAACCACTGCGAAACCAGGGCTCCTTCAAAAAAGGAGAGAAGAAAAAGCAGCAGCAGCAAAGGTGGTTAAAAGGCCAGAGGTATTCGATGCATTATCAAAAGAAGCATGGTTCACTCATACAATATCAGTAATACATCACAACTCAGAAGCTAATGGCCAATTTCACATCCCTGCTTCGGAGAAATGGGAGAATGACAGACAGTGAAGCTACCAGGGATGCACTTTGGGGAACTATGGTACATGGTGACAACATCAGTAACAATCCTTGTGACAACCAACTGGTATTCAAAATCCCATGTGTACTCCTTGGTCCTCTTGATTAGGTTTAGTTTTGTTTTCTCATTCTGACTTTCTTTGAAAAAGGAGCACCGGTGGCATAGTGGTTAAAGCATTTGGCTTCTAACTAAAATATCAGTGCTTTGAACCCACTAGCCACTCCATGGGAGAAAGATGGAGCAGTCTGCTTCCATAAAGATTTACGATCTTGGAAACCCAGTGGGGTCGTTATGAGTCAGAATCTACTCGTTGGCAGGGTTTTTTTTTGTTTTTTTTTTTTTAATGATATCTGAGTACCTGTTGAGAATTGGTTCCATTTGGCATAAACATCCTTTTTATTATTATTTTTAATCCATAACTATTCATTTATTGGGAGTCTCTGTATGATGCAGATGATCAAGCACTCATCTTAAAACAGAAGTGTTGACAGTTCAAATCCACCCAAGGCACCTTGGGGATCTGCTTCTGAAAAGGCATCCGTCGAAGTCCCGATGGAGCACAGCTCTTCTCAGACTCACGTGGGGTCACCATGAATCAAGATCTCCTCAAAGCCACCACTTTGGGATATTTTAAAAAATACCAACATTGGTAATGACTAGGTTTGGCTTTCAAAGAGTTAATATCAGAGACATATTCTGGGGTGAAGTTGGGAGAACTTTTCAAGAAAGAAAGGAAAGCTTTCCAAAGTCTACTGCACATGAATGACAATCAACAATAGAAGAGTAATTTGAAATGCCAGTTATTAAGAAGAAAGGTGGGCTTGGTCACGTGAGCTGTGTCAATTTTTCATACACCACAACTTAGCATGCAATTGGGCTAACTAAACTTACAGATGACACAACATCACTCTTCTTTGAATACTTGCCACTGAAGAGAAACCAAATGTCACTTTGTCCCTTTTGGATAATTGAGTCTTTTATTATGGCAGAAAGGAACGGTGAAGAGTTATATGTTGAGGAGGGGTACTGATGTTAAATGTCAAACTGGATTAGTCAAGGCAAATGGAAGAGGCTGCATGAGGAGGCTGCCATTTGGGTTCACATTTAAGAGGCCCTCAGAGATGGCAGCTCCTTGACTTGAAAGTGAGATGTGCCATTCCAGCTTTTCTCTTTGTTCACTGTCACAGTTCTTTTGGTACCCTTGCTCTAATCCTAAGACAGTGATAGGTTTTTGGGAGTCCCTGGCCTGTAGAGGGCAGGGAAATCAGAGGCAGGGGCTTTGCTGCAATGAA